AGTGTCCTTTGACAACCCAGACATCATCTCAGAGAAGCAGGCACTAGAACTCTCTGCTTGATGTCCCCTTCTGGTTTCCTTTTGATTGTGACTGTGATGCTGGCAAACTACGTGCCAGCTCTTGCCAAGGCTTTTGTATTCAGCCAAGTACTGACTAATTCATTGCTGGGAACCAGTCAGTTTCCCTATGGGTTACTTGGTTAAGCTGGACATTGAATTTATGACAATGTGTGGAGTGTTTAGACTCTATGAAATGCTCATAGGCTGCTTCATACATTAATCTCACTTATACTTTTGTTGCAGCTGTAAGGTAATATTAAAGTTTTTGCTTTGTAACTGTAAAATATGTTTTGCCATGAAACTGTTGGCCTTTCAGAAGGGATTGTCTTCTGTTCATTTAGAAGACTGTCAAAACTAAATTGACCATTGTGGGACCTCACAATACAAAGCCTTTGTTCCCTATTTTTATTTCCTTCTTCCAGAATTCTAACGGGAAGCTCTTTTGCATATATTGTTTTCATTGTGTAAAGGGGTAATTAACGACCATTTTTCTTTGTCTGTTTTGCTGTTTGGCCTCTCACAGGTCTGGAGCTATGAAACGGAAGTAGAGTCATAAAATCCAGTAAGCAAATACTCTTTTATTTTTTATTTTATTCTAGAACTGGCTACAAGCATTATCTTCTGTTATGAGATATGAGGTACAAATTGACCTGGGATAAGTAACTGGTCTCTTGGGACTGAAGCAAACTGTGTCTCTTGTGATCTTTGGTATGTAGCCACCAATTATCACTACGTCCATCTTGCCTGGCATGCCCAAAGTTGGTGATAGACTGGCATGCCCAAAGTTGGTGATATCTAATTATGGGACACAATAGTTTGGGGTGTTTGCCCTGCTTTTGGGCAGTCTAACCTGAGATGATTCACATGCATGGTTGTAAATCACTTCAGATATTGTGACAGTGACTTTGGTTCCACTCTTGTCCCTATGCTTTTTCCTTTAAACTGCAAATGTAGCAAACATCTGTGTTTTTTGTGACTCTTCCCCTCTCTGGATGGGGAGACCACTGTTTGGTTTGGTGTGAATTGCTTTTGAATATTCCACCTCCTTCCTTCCGCTCAAATAGACACCTGTTACAAGAGCTGAGCTCCTTGAAAAGATGGAGTTGATATGAAACTCAGAAATACGTTGTTGTGCTGGCAATGTTGTTAACCGCTAAAGTGCTCCCCAACTTATTAAAAATGATGACTTTATTAGGCATCAGTTGGGCTACATCTCCCAAAATGCACCTTGACTAGGTACTTCCATGGTGAACTGCTTGATGTATCATGGTAGATGATGTCCAATTACGGACTCTGATTTAGAGAGGAGAATGGGAGCTCGAGGCACTCAAAATTGTTTCTTTGAGGCAGAGCAGCAGCTTTTCCAAATCAGACTATTCTATTTAGCTGAATTTTTTTTCAGGTTTTGGTAAAAATATTTTGAATGTTTGCCAACAGTCAAAGTTTCCCTGGGGTGAACCCATGTTTTTAACTAGGTCTAGAAAATATCCTTCCAAGACAGGAATTCCATGAATAAACTCACATTGCAATGCATACAATATGGAGTACTACAGCTCAAAGTGAATTCAGTGTGAACTGCATTGTTTCGAGTAATCAGCAATCTTTAGGAAGACAGCTGTGGGTCTAAATTCAGTGGAATAATTTGCTCACAGCAAACAAACATTGCATGGACCCTACTGTCAGATCTGTATGTGGTGTGAAATAAAATACATGTGATGAGGAACGTAATCGTCTTAAGTTTGTGGAAATGTTCCATTTGGGAATATGAAGAGGTGAAGGGATTATGAAAAAGCCTCTAACTATATAAAAGGTGTATCTAACTATTGGGGACATCCTAAATCTGATGGTGCCTGGCTACGAACTTGATTCTAAAAAGACGTAAGTGAGTAGCCCTAATCCTATTCATTTTAAGCTTAAGTCCCATCAAAATCAGTAGGTATTAGCAAATACAAATGGCAAAATCCACAGTGCTTTGGTTAAACCCCAATGTGTGTGTGTCTGCCATGATAGTTTTCTTTAAGGGAACATTAAAACAAGGGATCCTACTCATTGGAGAGAAACTAATTTTTTACTGCTCAATTAGAAAAATTATTCTCTTGGAGATAGCATTGTTCTCTGGGAGTATTTATGTTATCAGTCACTGTCTAATCACAGACAAAACAATCTGTTACTCAGATACAGTAAGTATAGTACAGACTCTGATTCTAATACAGACTCAGGACTGAAGAGGTGGAGCGTGCACATGTGTGGGAGGAGGTTAGGAAGGGGGTAGGCAAGTAGAAGGCAGGGGCTTAAGCTTTGAACAAGAGTATGAGACGAGCATTATGATCCACATCTAGCAGGAGGAAGAGGGAAGACCAGTGACAAAAAAGGGCATATGCTGATCATATCTTAGCACAGATAATTGGACCAGATTTGATTACAAATAAAAGAAATGATGGACAGTTGTGAATTACAAGGTTATATAATGCTGCTGAGCAGCTTCTGGTGACATCTAGAACAGCAAAGCAATAAAGAGGATTAATGGGTCTGCTTTTTCAATCTCTCTGCTAAACAACTCACTGAAAAATGCCTGGCCGTTGCTTGCTAAAAAGCACATCAAGGATCTGTATGCCAGAGATGCACAGATGTTGTGCTAATACCTGCTGCTTATGTTTTGCCTAGCAGTTAAGAGTGTGTCCAGAACACACACACACACACACACACACACACACACACACACACACAGTTCACAGCTCATTTTCAAAGATTTCCTTTCTACTTATTGTTCACTTCATATTCCAGCCTTGTTAATTCCTGGTGGGGCCGTTCTGCTGTATGTTTCTGAGTTGGAGCATGGTTCAACAACAGGGTGACCTTTTCCAGATGATATATTTGAGTATCAAGCTCTCAGTGGGTGGTGTACAGTTTTACAGCCCTCTTGCCTGCTTCCTCCTCTACTTTGAATACCACTGGGAGCCTGCAGGGGGAGCACTGACTCAGCCTGCACCTAGGAGTGTGTGTCAAACAGGATAACACCCCTTCCACCCTCCCCTCAGCAAGATTAGCCATGGAAGAGAAGAAAAAGGGAGCCAGAGAACCTTGAAAAAAGCCTGGAGATAAGCAGAGGGCTTGTGGCAGGAGAAAGAGGATGAAGTGACTAAGACGGAGGATAAATTGGAAAAGGAAAGACAGAAGATTAATTGTCTAGGGATGGCTGAGGGAAGAAGGTTAATTAGATGTGGTGAAACTATAGGCCAAAGCTAAACTAACTGGGAGCAAAGGAATGACTTTTGGGCTGGAGGATGAGATGATTGGTTGAGGGTGCCTAAAGGGCAGAGAATGGATTGTGTGATTGATTATCTGGTCTTCCAGACAATGGCTGGGGTGGGAAGAAGGCAGAGATTGGATTGAATGGCATTCTAAGAAGGTCTTTGATTGGGTCTCCTGGGTGCTGGGTTGAGAATCAGTTTGTTAGGGAGTCTTATAGGACAGAAGATTGATTGATATGGTGGATTGTGTCCAGAAGGGGAATTGAAGAATCTTGGGCGGGAGAAGAAGTTGAAGAGGGTGGCTGATGGTGGCACAGATGTATTGACGGTCGGAGTGGGAAGGATAAAGAGACAGGAGTTTAGCAGAATTGTGAGAACAAACTAGGGAATTGATAAGAATCTTGGGATGGGGGAGAGAATTGATTGGGATGTATGGGCTAAGAGGTTGGCTTGGGACAGAGAATTGATTTTAGGAACAATATAAAAGCAGAGCATTGCTGGCTATGCTGAATGACCCAATTACTTTGTCTGTGTTTTGGGTGGAAATAATTTAAGGTAGCACCACAAGTTGGGTACAGTATTTTCATCTCCTCTAGCTCCGAACTACCATAGGACCCCTCTTCAGTGGAAGGAAACTTCAGAGTACACATTTCTTTATAAAAATAAGTAGTTTCATTAATGAAGTGGTGACATGCAAGGTCACGGGTAGCAGGGGAAAGTGTCTTGAATTAATAATACTTGGTTGATTTCTTTAACAAGTTTGCAGTTCCTATGCCTGCTGCTGAACTCAGATTCTAGCTGCAGTGTTCAATTAAAAAAATAAATCACTATAAAAGGAAAGACGAAAACAGGTGGGTTTCATTTCTATGTCAGCTGGTGTTTTGACATTCCCCTCCCTTCACCACTGGTGAGATACAACAGTGTACACAGGAAGAGTCATTCCGATGTCACAAAATTATTTTAAATAATTTGTATGAATATTCATGTCATTTAGTGTATGAGCTGCTGTCATGATTCCATCAAGTATCAAGGGATGGCAATAGGGTGCTATTTTGATGACCTCCTATCTTGTCACTCCTCCCAACAATCTCCATCAAACCCTTTGGGTCCAATCATGGTGGCGTATACTGTATTGCATCTAATTGCATTAATTTGAAACAGAATGGAAAGAGATACAACTCAGGGACATTTAAAAAAATCTAGGCATAATAATGTTTTAATAAGTTTCCTATTGCAGTTATGTGGCTGTGAAGCAATGTCCCTGTTATAAACCAATGTAATATAACAACTTGAGGGCCAATATTTCAATTTGGTTTGCCACATACATTCAGCTTGGCTTTGTGACAACCAGAATCATTTAGATAAGTTCTGTTTATTTTAATTTGAGCAGACTGTTATTGACTTGTGAGGGTCACCGTTGTCCCAAAAGGAGCAATCCCAGAATCCTTTCTTCAAAAACTGAAGGGGAATGAAAGAACAATGGTACCAAAATGAAAAGTATTGGGAACAGATCAACCCCTAGCAGTGGAGTTCAGGATGTTTGTTCCTCATCTCAAGGATTTCTATAGAAAAGATGGCTATAAATGTGTTTAAAGATCACATTTAGGCTGTCAGATACAGACTGACCCTATACTTCTCAGGGTGCGGCTAGACTTCAAGGATCTATTGTAAAAAATAGCGCATTTTGCATATCTTTTTCCTAAACTTTTGTTGGAAGAGACTTTTCTGAAATTTGGCCCATCTAGACTGGGCCAAATTTCGGGAAAAAACCCTCTTTCAAAAGCCCCATTCTTCCTTGTGGAATGAGGAATATGGGGCTTCCGAAAGAGTGCGTTTGCTCTTCCACAAAAAAAGCAGAAGAACAAACTCATTTCCTGGATGCGGCTGAGTGTTTCTGGGATACCACTCTAACACAACCTATACTGGAAAAATGAATAGTCTAGCAGCACAGTAAAATTAACAAATATGTATCATGAGCTTTTTGTGGGCACGACCCACTTCTTCATACCATATACATGTTTTGTTAGTCTCTAAGGTGCTTCTAGACTATTCGTTGTTTAAGTGTTTCCAGTTACAGACGAAGGGTGTGTCGAGACTACAGGGTTTTTTAGTAAAAGGTGGACTTTTTTCAAAAAAACTTCCCCTTCATTTAGAAATTAAATTGAAAGAACGTGGCATTTTTTTTCTACCATGGTAAACCTCATTTTATGATGAAGAACGCCTTTTTTCGAAAGTGCTCTTTTGAAAAAAGGCATTCTTGAATGCAAACGGGTCTTTTTCAAAAGAGAACATCCAGACTGCCTGGGTGCTC